CAAGTTGTGTCTCGAGACAGTTTCATTTGAAACAAAAATTCTATCTCACTTGAGATAGTTTTCCTTAAAACAAGTTTCTTCTCACTCGAGACAACTCACCTCGAAACAAAAATTTTATCAAACTTGAGATATTTTTCCTTAAAACAAGTTTTGTCTCACTCGAGACAGTTTCTCTCGAAACAAAAATTTTATCTCTCTTAAGAAAATTTCCTTTAAAACAAATTTTGTCTCAATCAAGATTGTTTCTCCTGAAACAAAAATTTTATGTCACTTGAGATAGTTTGCCTTAAAACAACTTTCATCTCAGTCGAGACATTTTACTACCTAACTTAGAAATTTGATAAATAAAATAAATAATTAAAATATTACAAGTTGACTCATTTTAAAACGTAACCTCTACATGCTCGCTAAGCTATCATCATGTTACACTAGTACTCCATTGAGACTCCTCTGAAGATATCATTGTACCATCGCACTTTACGCAACCTATAACATGTAAATGGAAGCACGTTCTGAATGCTGAGCTTGCTAACAAGTATATTTAGAGAAGCAATACAACTATGTCATTAATACTATCAAACCATCTATCCAAGGTACATCCACTATCATAATGGTATGAGTCTCATGCTTCTCTTAGTTCATAACTAAAGGCCTCGCCATGAGTATACATATATTGGGTCTCTAACTGCAATATCATGCATCTATGCATCATCCTATGCAACACACCATCACACACAAAAAATGATAGTACATAGCCATCAAGTACTAATCATACGTCAACAAAATGCATCAAAGATGAGGTCACATCAAAAGCATCATGGTTAATGATAACAATCGACCAATCTGAAAGTATGTTGAGCTTATCTTGGATGATTTGAATATTGGTATTATTAAACCTATAATACATGTTGCACACTTCGATTTAAAGCCTGTGATGTTCCAAATACAGCAGTTGATGGGGCAATATAGGGGGATGCATACCGATAACCTTCAAGAATGTTTGAGGGAATTAATGGTTGTATACGATTCAATTTTCCAACAAGGAGTACTTGAAGAAGCCTTGAAGCTGAAATTATTTCCATATTGTCATCTCAACAAAACCAAAGTGTGACTTAACTCATTGCCACCAGGAGCAATAACGTCTTGGAACAAACTTGCAAAAAAGTTATCACTATGATTTAATCATCCCAACATGAATGATAGATTGAGGAATGTCATCACTTTGTCAAGAAAATAGAGGATGAAAACCTTTATGAAGATGGGAGAGGTCTAAAAATTTGCTATGAAAATGTCTGATGCATGGTTTCCAACATTGGACGCAAATAAAGATGTTCTACAATGGTCTTAACATGTATACGATGATGGTTGTGGATGCATCAACCAATGGAGCGTTGTTGTACAAGTCTTACAATGAAGCTTACGAAATCCTTGAGAGGATATCCAACAATGACTACCAATATCCTAACACAAGGATTATGTCGGGGAGGCATGTTTTTTCTATAATGGACAATGATGCTTTGAACACACTAACCCCATAGGTGACATCATTGACTGAAATGATAAAGAAGATGCAAGAACTTAAAGGTATTCATGAAGTTAAATCAACATCAATTATTTCTTGTTTTTATTATGGTGACAATCATAATTTTGAGGAACGTATCTAAAATCCTAATTTTATGTATTTCAAGATGAGCTAAAATTAGAATAATAATGCCTACACCTATGGGAGTACCTATAATCTAAACTTCAATAATCATTTCGATCTATCATAGTGAAGTCAAAATGTAGCCAACTTTGATGCAATATTGAATTTAAATTTTTGGGAATACATAACCATAATATTAGTCATAGCAATAGTATGTGAAACAACAACCAATGCTTCCAAAGTCGTAACCATTGTTGCAACATCACCCAATATAACCACAACATCGAAACAAGGAGCATTCTTATTAATAGTAATCTTCCAATCAACCCAATGCATCTTGCTTACTTAAGTCTCTGCTGTATGAGTATATCTCAAGAAATGAGGCAACAAATCAAAGAAACAAAGCATTGAACCAAAGTCAATTGGCATCGTTGAGAGAATCAGAGAATCAGGTTAGAAACTTAGCCAATGCATTGAGTAACATACCTCAAAGGGCATTTCCTAGTGATACAAAAGTTCCTAAAATCAATAGAAAAGAAAATTGCAAAGCAATTACAATGCGAAGTGGACTTCAAATAGGAAAAAAAGTTGAGAACAAAGAAAAAAAGGAGGAGAGGCCTAAACAACAATCAAAGGGAAAGGAAATAGAAAAAGTGATTGAGTCACCAATAGTTGATGTCACAACAAAGGATGTTGGCCAAAGTGGCAATTCTAAACCATTGCTACCACATATATCGACGCAATTTCCACTGCAACCTAAAGAAATGCCATGACCTCCATTTCCTCGAAGATTGGAAAACATCAAGGATGACTAATAATTCAAGAATTTTCTTGATGTGCTAAGGCAATTAAGGATCAAGATATCATTGATCAACATATTAGAACAAATGTCTAAGTGCCCCAAGTTTATAAAATAAGCATTTTCCAAGAAATATAACATTGGTGAGTTTGAAATCGTTACACTAACTGAAGGGTGTATTAACATGGTCATGGGTAGATTGCCACTGAAGTTGAAGAATCCAGGGAAATTTACTATTTCTTGAACTATTGGTAATTAATAAATTGCTAGAGCATTGTGTGATTTAGGTTTTGTCATTAACTTAACGCCTTTTTCTATTTTCAGGAAATTTAGGATTGGTAAAGAAATACCAACAACTGTTAAACTTTGTTGGCTTAGACCATGTATCCAATAATAATATACCAATAATATAGGGCAGATATTCCTTGCTATAAGATGAACATTGATTGATATCCATAAAAAAAACTCACAATTCGTCTAAATGACCAACAAATTACATTCAATTTTTAAATCTACTGAAATACGATGACATTGTTGAATATTATTTTGTTGACATTATCGAGGGAACAAGGCAAGAATCTTTGGATGAATGTTGGAGCATGTTTAATGGGAAAATGATGAAACTCTATGTTGCAATATACCATAAAACATTGCTTCAATTTGGTTCTATGAACTTAAGCCTGAATAGTTCATTTACTTATTTTATTTTCATTTTCAATAAGTCATATGTGACATTAGATTATATTTTTTATTTTTATTTATTAGTTTTATTTAACAATTTTATCTTGAGATTTTTGCAGGTCATGCTTCCATATTAATTAATGTACCATCAGTCATCACATGTTGCCTTTGCTTCACAACATTAGCTAGAGCTACAAACATTCATTATTTACACAACATCACCTGCAAGTAATAAGATAAAAATAAAGATTAAGGAGAAACCCATAGTAAAGATGACCCGCCCAACATCCGACAACCCAATAAAGATTCGTTAGGGGAGTATTCGATCACCCTTCCAATTTTATTTTAGTTTTTATTTGTTGTTTATTGTTGTTGTATGCATTGGGGATTATGCACATCTCAGGTTTGGGGGTGTGTTGTTCAATTTTTTGTTCATGTTGCATATGTTATTTTTGTGTTGTGAATTATTGTTTATTTGTTGTTATTGCATTCATGATAGGATGTCGCCATAATTGATGAAGCTTTTAATCTCTTTTTGACGAAGTTTGACGATAAGAACATTTGAATGGTGAAATATAAGGGGAATGTGTTAGATTTTTATTAGGCCTAGGATTTATAGAAAAATTTTAATACAATAGATGTATGTTTTCAATACTTAGAGACTTTGGAAATAGTTTAACCGTATAAATCTTACATCATTAGTAGGTACAGTAGAAAACATTCAAAATCCTATGAAATACTAGAGATGCCTAGAACTGGCTATAGTTAAAGAAAGAAAATTATATTTGCTTCAATCTGCTATACGTGGATTTAACAATGAAATGGAAACAAAAGAATGCTAGAAATGCTCAACACTAGCTTTAGGATTGAAATTGAAAAGGATAAAAGTGGATGCTAGAGGTGCCCAACACTGGCTCTAGCATTAAAAATGGAGAAATGCTAAAGGTTTTTTACACTTGATCAAGCAAAGAAATAAAGTGAGAAAGATGTTGCTACAGCATTGAAAGTTTAAATAAGGGAGTAGGATCAAATTTTTTTAATTAATCTAAGTATTGATTAGACAACCTTGCTTGCACACTGCAATACTTTATGGATTCTAACTTTGGTAAGTTCACAAAAAAATCCTAATTGAAGACCAGTAAATGCTACCACATCTGTGGAAGTAACTAAAAATTTTGAGAACTTAAAAAGAGATAAAAATTTGAGTTGACTTGACATCATTATTTAGCATAGTTGTATCCGTTGCATTATAGTTGCTTGAAGACAAACAAACACTTAGGTTTAGGGAGTGATAACTTTCTAAAAAAGTTATCATTTAAAGCCTTTTTACTTAGGTTAAGCTTACACTTTAGCAATTTTAGGATCACATTTAGATTATTTTAGCATGTTTTGTATAATTTGCATTTTGGGAAAGAGTTGGTGGTTCTTGGGCTAATTCTTTTATTTTTGTTGTGAAAATGTTACCCTGATGTTGTGAAATTATTTGATGTTGCAAGCGTTCTTGCGAGAAGATGTGAAGTAGATTTGTTGGGTCGTTGTTGTAGCAACTAATGACTTACCAAGTGACTAGAAGAATTTTCTAGAATATGGCAAGTGATGGCCTCTTGAAGTTACTCAACCACTTTGGTTGTTCATATCGAGCCTTCAATATGGATACCCAATCTTCGATATTTTGTACCCTAATTTTTTCTGGGTTATTTAATTCAACTTAAAGGTGATCGAAGACCGATTTGAAGAGACTTGTAAATTGATGATAAGTTCAATCTAAGGGTCATTGATAACATAAATGGAAAATTTGAGGATCAATTTGAAGATTCAATTTTAAGTTTAAGCATTGGATTATTTGGACCAATGATTATTCATGTTTATCCATTTTCATCAAAAATTAACCATTAAAACAATATCCATGTCCATTTATACATAACACCCCATTTATAAAACCCAAAATAAATGTTCAAACCCAAACTTAAACCCAATCCATTTGTCTCAAAAAAATGACCTAGACCCGGTTGAGACCCATTACTAAACCCAACAACAAATCCTAGTAGAGATGCCCCCTCCCTCTCCTCCACATGAGCTATCCCAGCAACATCCGAGCCTCGTCACCAATATTCCAGAAGTTCCCCGAGTTGGCACCTATCCTTCACGCCAGTTGTGCACTACCAATTGGGATCATCCTCTCAGTAGCAGATGGAATAACAAACTCACACCAGCAAAGAGGCCTCGTCATCAACCTGCACAAGGAAAAACAGTGAAAAGGCGAGAAAAAAATGTAATTTTTTAGATTCCTTTTGTAACATAAAAGGGTATAAAACTCGAATGATATCATATTGTAGGGGGCTTCTTCTCCCCCTTTTTTTTAATTCGAGAGAAGCAGTGTAAAAGGGCTCTTCCCCCCATTTTAGAGAAAACCAAGAAAATACAAAACAAAAACTCCAAAGCATTCAATCATTTTCAAAACCATTTTCATGTTTTGTTGTAAACAAAAATAGAAATTAAAAGTGAGAAGGGTTCGATTCATTACATGAACAGAGGAAAGAGTTAACTTCGTTGAGAGAAGGAACCTCGCTGGAGTTATCATCGGGAAAAGGAATACAAGAGAGACTCTTCCTCCCATTCGAAAGCAATAGCAAACAATGAGCTACACCCCTTCATTCGAAAGCAATACACAATATGAGCCTCTCGCATTTTTTCTCTCGACACATCAATGTAAGCAAAGGTTTCCCCATTTTCCTTCGAATCAATACGTAAAGCAAAAAAAATTTGTCTTAGTTTACATTTATACGGTTTTCGCAGTTTTCTTTGTGTGTGTGTTGTTTGGAACGCAAAGCAAGGAGAGTTAGGAGAATAGTTTACCTATCGGTTGAGTTCTCTTCGCTTGGAAGGGTCGCGTCGCTGGAGTAGAGGGGCTATGGGAGAAGCTTTTGGTGTCTCATTTAAATTTCAGGGTTTGCATGTGAGATTTTTAGGTTTGTGATTCGATTGGTCACTGTTTGTGGTGACCAAGGGGAAGAGAAGAGCCGATTAACGGCGGTGGTCGGCTCCCAGGGGTTACTGTCGGGGAAGAAAATAGAAAGGGTTGGATTTAGGTTTGGGGTTCGAATATTTTGGTTCACTTAGAATAACCTAGGCTTCGTCGGAAGGAGGAACGGCGGTGATTTGCGGCAGTTTAGGCGGTGGCTTAGTGCTTTGGGTGAGAGGTCTCGGTTGAGAGGAAGAATGGGTAGAGAAGAGGAAGCTGAGGCGTCTCGATCGTTTAGGGTGGCCTAGAGTCTTCACCGATTGGTTTGGAGGGCGGCCGGAGCGAATTGGCCACGAAAGCTTGGTGGCTGGCGATGGGACTTTGGTCCTTTGTAGGTTTAGCACGACCACCGTCTCTGATGTTCAGAGGGAGAACGGCGCCGAGGAGGGGAAAGGGTTAGGTTTAGCAGAAATGAGGATTTGTTTTTAGGTTAATTCTTAATTTAAGGATTTAGGTAACTTGGATGAAACGATGTCGTTTAATCGAGGTCCAGGGTAGTCCTTTTTCGCGCGAATGGGTTTATTACTGAGGGAGCTACGCCTTTTTTTCGATTTAGTTCAGTTTAGTCCTCAAAATCCATGTTTCCTTTACTTTTAATTTACCTTCATATTCTACGCGCATTTTAACTTGGTCCCTGAATCAAAGCATTTCGAAGTTATAATTATTCCCTTATATTTCATGTGTCTCCCATCTTAGTCCAGTGTTACATTATTCTTAATTTCATTTTGTTTAACATTTGGAATGTAATTTTGTCTGATTTTTATTTTAGTCCTACGCATGTTTGGGGTTTATGTTGATTCTAGTGTTGGTAATTTTGTTAGCTTTTATGTTAGTCCCCTGTGGTATGCGATTATTACCTTTATTTTCCTGTTGCTTTTCACATCTGATACATAAATTAGATTTGATTTAGCTTTATTTATGTTCATTAAGTTATAATATATATATATATATTATTTTGTTGAATGCTTAACTTAAATGTGTGTTTGCTTTATCGTTTTACATACATGATAAAAAGTGCATATGTATATAAAGTGTAGTTACATGCATGAACATGCTATATAATTATTTTAATATTAAGTATTGGTAGGTCGTAATGAGATATTGTCTTTAATTTACATTTATTAATTTAATGTGGAAAATCGCATGAATTTACTTGATTGTTAAAACCTAGGTATAATTGCATGCTATGATATCCTGACAAGCATAACTCGACCCAATAGTGAAACAAAAAAAAAATGATTTCACACCTAAAAATTGGGAATGAGAGAACAAGAAATGTTCGTTCATTTAAATTCTTCGAGAAAATATTGTTAGAACTTATTTAAGGTCTGATCTAGATGTCTTTAAATAATCGAATATTCTTCTTCTTTCTAAAAGGTTAGGTAATTTTTAACTTAATTTGTTTAATTGTGTGCATTTGAATATTGTAATGAAACCGTAATATTTCTTTATTTCGATTGGAGAAAGAATTGATTGTCTTAATGTACGAGAGGTCGTTTCTTCTCGATAGGAAATAATTAAATATTGCTTGGTTTCGTTCTAAATTCACGAATGTTGTTTTAAGGGATCTTAAATTAAATTAAATTTGAACTTGTAAATTTCATTGCAAAGACAATTAATTAATCAACTATGTATCGATTTAGGGCATTGTGGGGGTACTAAGCCTTCCCCACATGTAACCGACTCCTGAACTCATTTTTCTGGTACGTTGACTGCAAATTCTTCATTTTAATTAATATTTTTTTATTAAAATGACAAAATACACTTTTGGGTGCCCAATCACACCCTAATTAAATATTGGTGACGAACCGTATTTTATTTTATTTAAAGGGAATCTCAAAATTTTCGAAGCGAGAGATTTGTTTTTAAAAATCACATTATTTTCTAATTAAAAATTAATCAAAAGATAATTAAAAATATTTATTTTTTTAAAATTTCGAAAGGAAAAAATCATTTCGACACGGTATGGATACCAACTCATCTGTTATGGATACTAATTCATATGGTATGGACATCAATTTATCTGGTATTGATACCAACTCATCTGGTATCAATACCAACTTATTCGATACATCCAACCTTTAATATCAATACTACAACCCTTGGTACTGATACCAGGGGATCGATATTAATACCAATTAATCTAGAATCGATATTGAGACCTAGAAAACCCAATTTTTACCCATAAAATGAACAATATCAATATTGGTCATACAATATCGATACTACAATCCAAAAATACATTGTTTTGCTCTGGAAATAATGCCAAACCCACCCCCAAAGACTTGTTTTATGGTCTAGGTTGGTTATTAAAGCTTATTAAAGTCATTAGGGGTGATTAAACATCATTTTTACATCAACTTGACACCAAAAAGGTCTTTTTCAAAAAATAAAACACTCAATCCCCTCCATGCTCTTCCACCCCAAACAAGTAAGCCATGATAAATCTTATGCACTATAAGTATTAGAGAAGAGTTAAAGTGTGTTACCTCATCTCCTAATAACCCAAAAACTGTTGGGGACCGTCAGCACAACAGAAACAAACTAGATTGTCTCACCAGCGATCCATGTGTGATAAAACTGAAATAAGGAGGAAGGGATATGATTTATCACCTTGGGTTCCTTGAATAGCATCAATACAACAACGACTCACGATCTCATGAACGATTCAAATCCTAGTCTCCACAAAACAATGTCTCGACCACTACTTCGTTCACCCAATTGAAAAGTAGTTAAGAGCAATTTCTTTCTCAAAACAGTTTCGAGGAATTTTATAATTTTAGAAGGGTAAAATGACAACTAACCAACATATCTCCTTTATATGTGTAATCCTAGCTATTAGGGTTTCAATCCGAATTTAATAAGGAATATAATTACCCTAATTACATTATTTTAATTAAATTTGGTATTTTAATGTGTAAATATATATATATATATATATATATATATATATATATTAATTACACATTTTCTTCATGTACAATAAAATTATACATATGTAACACATTTATAAATTGCTCTTTTCATCCATTGGGTGTGACCCTGTAGGTTTCTGTAACATTGGTAGTAATAATTAGAACTATTCTAATATTACAAACAATGAGTGACATCTAGCAATATATCATTGTTAACTAAGTTACAGGAAGTCATGATTCAACATAACATGTTCGTGACTAACTCTTTTAATGTATTATATTATTTTGACCTTTATATATAGAATAAGCACAAGTCTTGGAATAGTCACACTTGTATAGTCCATCTATTATTTCTTGATATCTAGAGTAGACTATAATAAGCGAATAATTTGTTATATCTCATATAAACTTATTAGAGCATGACCATGTATTTCTAGTCTCACTTAATCAAGTGGCATGTGATATATTTCTTATTATGTAGGAAGGACAAATCCTATCTCTATCATTCACACCTCACTACATTTATCGTGATATGTTCAATGTCAGTTTTTATAGTGCAACCCGTTAATGAGTACGTTTAACTGAGATGAGGTAACACTATAAGGATTCAATGTCGTGACCGTAACATAAATTTATCGTGATATGTTCAATGTCAGTTTTTATAGTGCAACCCGTTAATGAGTACGTTTAACTGTATCAAAGCATACAACAATATATATTAAGATAATAATGATCTCAAATATAAGGATCATACATATAGTTGTCATCATGAGCAATATCGTGACCGTAACATAATAATCAAAGACATATGCTCATAACGATTCAATCCAATACATTATTCTCTAACAACATTTTCATGCATCAATTCTGAAATCTCTATGTCAATGACAACTCATTGTCATCAATCAATAACATGTTAGTTTAAAGCGTATCATTATTGTCCATGCTCATAATAATACTTGACTTAGGATCTTTTAATAATAATCATATTATTATATGGACATTATTATCTTTTAGTTTATTTAATGTACAAAAATAAAACAAAATAAAATAACGTTAATGCCCTATTTAATAAATACAGTAAAGAAAATATGTCAAGACAATCATCATATGATTGGTCTTTGGGCATACTCAAACAAAATGTCTATAGCTTACCCAAAGATCAACCTTTCTGTGACCAGCTCATTAGGGTGTCTTTACACAAATTTTTCACCAACCAAATGCCAATCAATGATTCCAACATGAAAAACAAGAATAGTAGTTGTTAAACAACAACAAAACCACATAAAAAATGAATGGAATCAAGGGGGAAGCCTTTAGAGCTCAAACTATAACACCTTTTTCTTGTATCTGTACCCGAATACGAGTCAGAGAAGTCAAACAACACCTGTAAAACATTTCTTATTTGAAACTAGTAAAATATTTTTTCTTTAAATGTTACAAAATGTAACATTTTTCACCAAAATTCTTAATCATGTAAAATCAAAATATAATAATTTAATATACAAATCAAGTTCGATTTCAGGCAGCAACTTGGTAGTTTAACACTTTCATATTAAGAATGAAACTACATAAAATTGCTCGAATCAAAATTCATTTTAGCACTTATAAAACATAACTTTATTAAAACGTAAAAACAAAAATTCTAAATTTATAACCATATTTTCTTAATAAAATTCACATATAAAATTTTATCACAACATATATTTATTATTACCTGTAAGTAGTATTCGATGGTTGATGTCAAGCTCAGCTCTTACTCCACGCGAATTGAATAATTTGTTTGAATAGGGATGAAATGTGTTAACTAAATAAATTTGTTCACAATCACTAGAATTAATCCTTTTTGGTGTGTCTCAAAGGAATCTTTTCAAAAATATTCATTGTAACTCTTTTTCATTTCCACTTAAGAATGAGAATTGGTTGCAATAATTCTGAGGAAACTTAATGCTCTGCTTTGACTTGCTAACATTTCAAGCATTTAGAAACAAACTCAGTTAACCTTTTTTATGTCTGATCACTAGTATCAGCTTTTTAAGTCGTGATATATTTTGTTTCCACCTGGATACTTAGTCAAAGGATTTCAATGTGCCTTAGAGAGAAGATATTTTTTAAATTCCTCATCATTGAAATACAAACTCTTCCTCAATAGTACAAGCATCCAATCTGACTTAACTTCAAAGTCTTTAGTTTCACCTTTTTCCACTTGTTCGATTCTTGATGTGCACTTTTCATCCTTTTTCTGCAAATCATTAATTATATTCAATATAGTAGGCTTTAAATTTATTTCTAAAATTTAATACACCATCATTCTTCATTGATATTCGCACATCCCAGGCTCTTAAAGAAAAAATGTCTTTCGCCTTAACGCATTAGCTATCACGTTAGTTTTTTCGGATGGTAGTCAATGATCACGTCATAATCTTTAATAAACTCGATCCACTTTCTTTTCCTTAGATTCAAATCCTTTTTTAAGTTAA